GTGTCACACTTCAGTGTTTCAGATCATCAAACAAATGTAAATATTAGACAAAGAGAACACAAGTAAACAAAATGCTGTTTCTAAATGAAGGTGTTTTTGTTTGAGGGGTAAATAATCCAAACCTACATGGTCCTTTGTGAAAAAGTGATGCCCCCTAAACATGATAACTGGTTGGGCCACTCTCAGCAGCAACAACGGCAATCAAGCATCTATGATAACAATGAGTCTTTGACAGCGCTGATGAGAAACTGTCTCATTTTTGCAGAATTGGAGGATTTTTGAGCAGAACCATCTTTTCATGCCACAGCATCTCAATTGGATTCAGGTCAGGACTGTAACTAAGGCACTCCAAAACCTTCATCCACTCACAGCTGGACTCACTGGTGTGTTTTGGATCGTTGTCCTGCAGAAGTGCGCTTCACCGTGAGGTCTTGAACAGATGCACAGACATAAAGCAAAACAGCCCCCGACCGTCACACTACCAACACCATATTCTCCTGCTGATGTTCCTTTCCTGAAAACCAGATGTAACGGGACACACACCTTGCAAAAAGTTCACCTTTTGTCTGACCAGTCCACAGAGTATTTTCCCAAACGCCCTGGGCATCATCGAGATGTTTTCTAGGAAAACTGAAAGCCTTTATGTTCCTTTCCTCAGCAGTGGTGTTCATCTTGGACCTCTGCATGCTGGCCATTTTTCCCAGGCTCTTATGGTGGAGTCATGAAAACTGACCTTAAGGGAAGCAAGTGAGGCCTGCAGGTCTTTGGATGTTGTCCTGGGGTCTTTTGTGACCTCGTGGACGCACTCGTGGGTTAAGTTTGGTCGGCCGGCAGCTCCTGGAAAGTTTCACTGCTGGTTCATCCACCTTTCTGGATAATGGCTCCCACTGTGTTTTGCTGGAGTCCCACAGCTTTAGAAATGGCTTTATAACCTTTCCTAGACTGAGAGGGCTCAGGTACTTTGTTTCTCATTTGTTCCTGAATGTTCTTGGATCACAGCAGGAAGTCTGACTTTGGTGTGGTGTGGTAATAATCACGCCTGGGTGTGGCTATTCAGCTTTCTAAAGACGTGATACACCGCAGGTAATGTTTTCACACAGGGCAGGTTGTAGGTTTGTGTTTTTAACCAGATGTTTAACATGTGTTTACATTCATACTTCTTTTCATCACACCAGTGTGAAAAAAGGCCAACAACAAATTGATGTCAAAGTAATAAATGATCAATGCACCGATTTATTATCAAACTATACACACATGTTCCAGTGAGATATCCCTACAATTAAAACCAGTCAGTTATTGGAGTATTGTCTTTAGTCATTCTAAAATGATGTGCTTGTTTTCCAACCAGGAGACCAAAGTTAACGTGGTATTGATTAGTTAGCCAGAACAGTTCAACCATGAAGAAGAGTTTCTAAAAAGGAAACGAAGAAGGCTCAGGTGAGGAGCAGGTGAGATTACTGATGGGCAGATGAAGCTTCATGAAGCACTGAAGCTTTTCATCCAATTGGTTCACCCCAGC